AAAAAAAAAAAAAAAAAAAAAATTACAGCCACAATCAAGTTATGCCAAAATGATTGAGAAGCACGCCGTCATCTTCATATCTCGAGGACTTTTAATGAATTTTCTCTTAAAGTAACAGCTGCCTTCATAACTTTTCTTTTCCACATAAAAATACACCATATTCTGAAGATACCTTAGGAAAAAAATTTTTTTAAGTTTATAGTTCTTGGTCCACACAGAAATTGAGTGGAGCTGGCACTGAAAGGGCTTGCTTTTCTCCACCGCACACATGTCCCGCGCCTGGGGCATCAGAGAGACCTCGTAAACATCCCCGGCTACAGGAACCCCTTCAGCCAAATGGGATTCCTGGAGCCCTACACCCCACGGCGCTCAGCTTCAGCCAATCAGACACAGTGCTGCTGCCAGGCTTCCAGGGACAGCAGCCCCAGCCCTCGAGAAGCCCAGCTCAGCGTGGGCAGAAAAGGACTCCCAGCATGCTAGGATGTTGCACCCAGGGTTCAGGACTCCTCAGAGCTCAGACCAGTTTAGAACAGGACCCTTAAAAACAAAATTACAATCAAAAGAGCCTTGGACCATGCATTGCTTTGTAGGGACATAACTTCAGGTCATGGCAAAGTGAGGGCAGTGAGGTCAGAGAACAAGGGTCAGATCCTGCCTCTGCTCCTTTTGTGCTGTGAGCCCCCAGGCAAGTTGCCACACCCCTCTGGCCTCAATCGTCTCATCTTTAAAGTGGGGAATAAAGTACCTACCTTGAAGGACCATCTGAGGATGAAATGAGACTATATCTGCAAAGGGGCTCACGGTAGGCTGGTTCCCAGGGCTGGGACCTGGGTGAGGGAGTGGCACCTTCCTCTCAGAGGAACAACGTAAAGGGGGTGCAAAAAAAATCACCAATCAGGACAAATAATGCTACTTTAACGCAATGTTAAAAATAAAAATCAATGCAAAAAAAGTCCATGATGAACAAAATATTAAATAAAGACAGAATCTGACCCTGAACTTGCCATTTCTGCCTAACTGCCTGCCCCTCATCTAAGCCCTACCAGTTCCCACCACCATCCTGCCCCCACTCCCTCCAGTCCTAATTCAAAGAAGAAAAAGAAGCTGTCCAAAGTGGGGCTGCTGAAGCCTGAGGCCTGCTCTGTCCCTGTGCCACCCTCCCGTTCACAGGGCTGGCTGGTCCTGGGATGAGGATTTTGAGCCCTTTCAGCTTCCTCAGCTGCAGGCATGCCAGACAGAATCCTAACGGTGCAAGGGAAGCCACACCAAGGAACAAAACCTCACTGCGGGGCAGCAAAGAGAAACACAGGACCCGCTTGGTTCAGTTAAGAGGGGTGCGTGCGTACATGTGTGTCAGTGCGTGCCTGGACATGGGTTCACACCCATGGTAGGCCTGCTGCAGCCTAAGCCTGCAGACCCTCCATCCAGGCTACCGAGTTCTGCAGAGCAGCGTGTTCCCCGTGGGACCAAGGGTCATCCCCCCATGACTGGGAACCCTCTAGCTGGTCCTGGGCACGCACGCCAGTGGCTCATTCTGCAGAACCAGCCCCCATCATCTAGGCGCCGAGTGAATGCCTAGAACACTCAGGCCATTGTTCACGTCAACAAAAATGCCTACAGGAAGAAGAAGAGGGGAATAATGCCAGGCAAACTGCTGTGGGCCTGGCCAGGTGTGGTCTGAATTCCTGAGATGTCCCTAAATGCTCCTTCGGAGGGCCTCCTTCTTGGGCCTGTCTCCTCCCTCACTTGGGAGGAGAGCAAGGACTGTCTGTGTGCAGCCCACGAATCCTCCCACCCACCCCTAACACAGGGGCGTGCCACCACACAGACCCATGGTTAAAGGGAGATTTTGTATAACTTCCAAAATCCTTTGAAGAGCAGCAGCTTCCCAAACCAGGAGGGCGTCCAAGGGAGAAGAATGAAGATTCAGTCATTTCCCAAACATGACAGGGCCATGAGCTTAGTAGGTCCTTTAACGAGGTACACGCAGGATGTACACGCAGAAAAAGTAAATGAGCACAGAACCCCTGATGGGGATGTGCAGGGTCCCAACTCCAGGTGACAGAAGGCTGAAGAGTTGTTCCAAGGCCCTGACCTGCCTGCTAGGCCAGTCCCCGCAGCCAAGTGGGTCGTCCAGGCAACTCAGTATGGAAGGAATGATGGCCGGACCAGGCCTATGGAGCTGGCACAAACGGGCAGGACTGTGGCAGTGGGGAGCAGTCAGGAGTTCCGGGGTGTGGGGAGGTCGATGACTATGGGCGGGTTCACGGGCTGGTAGTTCACAGTGCATACGGACGCGTTCACATAGGTGGTCGTCCCATCTGCCATGACACCATACCCTGGAAAGTAAGCACTGGGGAATAAAGTACCTACCTTGAAGGACCATCTGAGGATGAAATGAGACTATATCTGCAAAGGGGCTCACGGTAGGCTGGTTCCCAGGGCTGGGACCTGGGTGAGGGAGTGGCACCTTCCTCTCAGAGGAACAACGTAAAGGGGGTGCAAAAAAAATCACCAATCAGGACAAATAATGCTACTTTAACGCAATGTTAAAAATAAAAATCAATGCAAAAAAAGTCCATGATGAACAAAATATTAAATAAAGACAGAATCTGACCCTGAACTTGCCATTTCTGCCTAACTGCCTGCCCCTCATCTAAGCCCTACCAGTTCCCACCACCATCCTGCCCCCACTCCCTCCAGTCCTAATTCAAAGAAGAAAAAGAAGCTGTCCAAAGTGGGGCTGCTGAAGCCTGAGGCCTGCTCTGTCCCTGTGCCACCCTCCCGTTCACAGGGCTGGCTGGTCCTGGGATGAGGATTTTGAGCCCTTTCAGCTTCCTCAGCTGCAGGCATGCCAGACAGAATCCTAACGGTGCAAGGGAAGCCACACCAAGGAACAAAACCTCACTGCGGGGCAGCAAAGAGAAACACAGGACCCGCTTGGTTCAGTTAAGAGGGGTGCGTGCGTACATGTGTGTCAGTGCGTGCCTGGACATGGGTTCACACCCATGGTAGGCCTGCTGCAGCCTAAGCCTGCAGACCCTCCATCCAGGCTACCGAGTTCTGCAGAGCAGCGTGTTCCCCGTGGGACCAAGGGTCATCCCCCCATGACTGGGAACCCTCTAGCTGGTCCTGGGCACGCACGCCAGTGGCTCATTCTGCAGAACCAGCCCCCATCATCTAGGCGCCGAGTGAATGCCTAGAACACTCAGGCCATTGTTCACGTCAACAAAAATGCCTACAGGAAGAAGAAGAGGGGAATAATGCCAGGCAAACTGCTGTGGGCCTGGCCAGGTGTGGTCTGAATTCCTGAGATGTCCCTAAATGCTCCTTCGGAGGGCCTCCTTCTTGGGCCTGTCTCCTCCCTCACTTGGGAGGAGAGCAAGGACTGTCTGTGTGCAGCCCACGAATCCTCCCACCCACCCCTAACACAGGGGCGTGCCACCACACAGACCCATGGTTAAAGGGAGATTTTGTATAACTTCCAAAATCCTTTGAAGAGCAGCAGCTTCCCAAACCAGGAGGGCGTCCAAGGGAGAAGAATGAAGATTCAGTCATTTCCCAAACATGACAGGGCCATGAGCTTAGTAGGTCCTTTAACGAGGTACACGCAGGATGTACACGCAGAAAAAGTAAATGAGCACAGAACCCCTGATGGGGATGTGCAGGGTCCCAACTCCAGGTGACAGAAGGCTGAAGAGTTGTTCCAAGGCCCTGACCTGCCTGCTAGGCCAGTCCCCGCAGCCAAGTGGGTCGTCCAGGCAACTCAGTATGGAAGGAATGATGGCCGGACCAGGCCTATGGAGCTGGCACAAACGGGCAGGACTGTGGCAGTGGGGAGCAGTCAGGAGTTCCGGGGTGTGGGGAGGTCGATGACTATGGGCGGGTTCACGGGCTGGTAGTTCACAGTGCATACGGACGCGTTCACATAGGTGGTCGTCCCATCTGCCATGACACCATACCCTGGAAAGTAAGCACACGCCCATCAGGTCAGCAGCCAGAGCAGTGAGGATGGTCAGGTGGATGTGGCAGTCATAGGGCACTCAGCCCCCATGGGCTGAATGTCTTTGGGGCAAGCTAGTAAACTCTCAAGGTCAATCCCTTCATCTGTAAAATGGAGACGATAATGATACATGCCACTTCCAAGCTTGCTGTGAGGATTATATGAGAAAATTATCTATGTACTGTGCTCGGCCCAGTGCCTGGCACATGAGAAGCACACAGTGAGTCATCATCATCGACATCATCTTCACCACCATCCTCATCACCATCACCACCACCACTGCATCACCATCATCACCATCAACATCATCATCACCACCATGCTTATCGTGATCATCACTATTTTCACCACCACTACCATAATCATCATCACTAATGCCATCATCATCACTATCATGATCAACATCATCATCACCAATGCCCTTATCATCATCTTCACCATTACCGCCACCACCATTACCGTCACCATCATCATCATCACTAGTGCCATCATCATCACTATCACCATGAACATCATCAGCACTATCCTTATCATCACCATTATCACCACCACCACCGCCATCACCAACATCATCAAAAATGCCATCATCATATCACCATCAACATCATCATAACCACCCTTATCATCACCACCACCATCATCATCTTCACTAATGCCATCATCACTACAATCACCACGACCATCATCCCCATCACCACCGCCATCACCATCATCAAAAATGCCATCATCATATCACCATCAACATCATCATAACTACCCTTATCATCATCACCACCACCACCATCATCATCTTCACTAATGCCATCATCACTACAATCACCACTGCCATCATACCCATCACCACCACCATCAACATCATCATAACCAATGCCATCATCATCACTATCACAATCAACATCATCACCACCGCTCCTATCATTATCATCATCATTATCACCACCACCATCACCATCATTATCACCAATGCTATCATCATCACTGCTCTTATCATTATTGACATCACCATTATCACTGCCACCATCATCACCACCATCCCTAGTGCCATCAACTTCACCAACATACCACCACCATCACCATCATCATCACCAATGCCATCATCGTCACTATCACTATCAACATCATCATCACTACCACCATCACCAAGAATGTTGTCATCACCAATGCCACCATGATCATCACTACCCTTATCATTATCATCGCCATTATCGCCACCATACCACCATCATCATTATCATCATCATCAGTATTGATGATGTCATCATTGATGCCATCATGATCATCACCACCAACACCACTGTCATTATTATCACCCTCATTATTGTATAAGCACCATCATCATCACCACAATCACCATCATCATCACCATTGTCATCATCATCACCACCACTATATTTATCACTATCATCACCATTGTCACCACTATCACCATCATCATCAGTATCATCATCATCATTGACATGATTACTATCACCATTATCACTACCAATACCACTGTGATCATGGTCATCATCTGTCATTATTGCCACCACCATCATCATCATTGCTACTATCACTACCATCCTCTCACCATCATCACTATCATTATCATCATTGTCATGTATTTTCTCTGCCTCCACCATACCCTCTTCCCACCATCTTTATTTGTTAGAATCCCCCTCATCCTTCAGCTCAGGTCATCTCCAAGATAGAAGGAACATTTCCCCTTCCCTGTGTGGTGCTGGGGGAGGAAGGGAGTGGTGAGTGGGTAGGTGAGGACCTATTCTTTGGAGTCCAACTGTGCCTGTCCAATTGTGTGGGGGTGTGGTTTGGGTCACAGGCAAATTTGGATCTGATGGAGCTACATGCCCATAGTAGGGCCGCAGAAAATGACAGCCATTATTATTATCCCACAGCACGTGAGCTGCCCATCTCTCCCAGGACCTCTCACATCTGGCTTTGATGACTCGTCTGTGCCCAGGGCTCCTCCAGGAGCTACTCCCAGGCCAGGCGAGGTCTGCTCACTCCTGCCCCTTGGAAATGAGCTGCAGAGGCCCTCAGGGAATGAATGGTTTGAGGCTTGCTTGCTTTTGAACTGAAAAACGATCTGATGTGGACTAGACAATGTGGACGCCTGAGGTCCCTGGTCCAACCAGACAGAGGTTCAGGAGGCCGGGAGATGCCTCTGGGGGAAACCACATGAGTCCAGACATCCCACAGCAGCCAATATGCTTCCTGGCAGGGATGTGACAGAGAGGCCTTGGGCAGGTGGGATAAATATCCAAAAGGAGCAAAAAGAGGCATCTGTGCCAAACTGGTGAAATGAGGCTCAGGTGAGGATGGCTGAGGTCTACTAGGGAACACCTGCACACAGCAACAGGCCAGGGCGTGGCCGTGTGGATGATAGACCTGGAGCTGACAACACCCTCACCATCACACGTAGTCCCTCCACACTTATTAAGCACCTATTGTATGCCAGGCCCAGGGGACAGAAGCAACAAGACAGAGCCACCAGTTTTAAGGGATTCATAGTGTGCTCACCAAATATAATTCATCCTCCATGTCGTGGCCCCAACGCCCCCTCCTCTGAAAACCCCTGCCCCCCTCCCGATGACTTCCCAGGCTGGAGGCACAGCAGAGTTGCAGGGCTCCCCGGAAGCAAAATTTACCCGCTAAGTCATGCAGGATTTTGTGATCATCTTCCTATTATTAAACATTTAGCAATAGCTCATTGACAGCCAGGGTGTATATGGCAGTTAGCAGTTACAAAGCGAACAGCAGGAATGGGCTATTTACTTCCCTTCTGGCTGAACGGAGGGGAGGCCCCGCTGGAGGGTCCATTAGGAGCCCCTAGCCCGTGAGGTCCCCGTCTCCACCATGTACTGACCTTCGTGGATGTGGCCAAAGACGTGTAGCCGCGGCTGGACGCGCCTCTGCACCGTGTTCAGCAGCTCCACGCAGCCCACCCGCTGCATCTTCTTGGGGACCCAGTCCAGGAAGCCTGGTGTGGGGGAGACAACAGGAGGTCATGACGGGGTCTGTCCCAGCCCCTTACTGCCCCATGCCCGGCAGCAGCTTCTGCAGCCTGGAAGAGGCATGGGGCTCCTGGACTACGGCTTTGCACTACTCTCCCCGAGCAAGCTCCCCGGAACCCTGCTCTGCCTCAGCCTTCAGGGACGGAAACCTTGCAGCCTCAGCCTCCTCGTCCATAGGGCTGCACTGAGGGCCTCCTTGAAAGAGCTTAGAGTGGGCCAGGCACTTGGGGCGGGGTACTCAGTAGCTGCTAGCGCCCCCCTCCCCCAACCATCTGTGCTCAAGTGACCTCGAGGGTGGCATCTGCCCACTGCAGAGATCAGCAAACGGAGGCCAGAGAGGGACGGGTGAGTCCCAAGGGCGGGCACCCTGGTGGTCAGTGGCAGAGCGGGGCGTCCTGACACACAGCCCAGGAGTGAGATTTCCATGTCAGAAACTTCCTAAAAAGCACAGACTCATGAGCAGAAACTTCCTCCGTGGGTGCAGCGTCGCTCACGTGGCTGCGCCTGCGCCTGCCCCCGCTGCCAGCCTCCTGGAGCCGCCCAGATGGTGACTGCTTATTATCCTCACATGGCTACACAAACGGAGAATAACTGACTACTCCAAGCGCACAGTTCGGGTTCGCGGCGGCCCCTCTCTGTCTGGGGGAGCAGAACAGGTTTCCGCAACTGCCAGAAAGGGAGCAGGGGAGCTTCCACTCAAAGGCCCAAGTGAGCGGCAACAGGCAAGAGAAGACACAGACGGAGACAGAGGCAAAGATGAGGGAGGAGGAGGAGAAGTAGGGGAAAGCAGAGCACAGACAGAGACAGAGACAAAGATGAGGGAGGAGGAGGAGGAGAAGTAGGGGAAAGCAGAGAAAAGAGGCGGGGAATGCGCTGGACACAGGCTGGGGGCAGACACTGGGGTGAAGTCCCAGGCTCTGCTGCCTACTGGCTGTGTGACCTTGGACAAGTCACTTAACCTCTCTGTACCTCCATATTATCCAACAGAGTGCTTGGGCCGGGCACTGGGATCCCACCATGCATGAGGCCAGACCCTTCCTCAATTCTGGAATGTGTGTTGTGGGGAGGGTCTCCAGCACCTCGGTGCCCTGGCGCGCACAGTCTGGAGACAATACAAGGGCAGCACCAGCTGGAGCGCCTGGCACACGGGCAGCCCTGAGACAGGAGCCGGGAGGTGTGTGAAGGGCCTGGGTGGGGCGTCCAGAGAGCAGGAAGCCAAACACCATGTTTGGAGAGATGGATGAATGGAAAGGAGAGAGGGAGAGACAGAAGGAAGAGGGAGGCGGGGAGGAAAGAAGGAAGAGGGGAGAAGAAAAAGGAGGAAAAAAAGGAGATATGGAAAGGAGG